AGTAACGCGGATCATACATATGTAACCTGGCCAATTTTGTGTATTTAAATGGAAGATTTTCGTAGTTCGCGCTGCGCCGCGCACTTTCCAATTAGCGTTCGCATCTAACGACAAGATACGGGGCTACTTTTGTCGATGCGTCCCGCTGCGACAGTACGGTAGCAGGTTCGCAGCAATTAAGATATTAAGAACACTTCTTCCGCGGATTTACATAATCATAGCCGGCTGTAATTACGTATTTACATAATTACATATATTCCACACGCGTCCATTTTCCCCGCCTACGTTTAGTCCGCGCTAATGAGATCGACGATAACAATCGACCTGCACGACCCACCTTCTTCTATACTTACCCGCTTCTTAAATCGGTTTATCATCCTCGAGTCAAGTAGCGATGACTACTAACTTTCTGATCGACATCGATACGATATCTGAATCTCTGTTTTCGACTTTTTTCTCTTTTTTTTCTCTTCAATTTTTCTCGTCGGTCGATAAGGGTTACTAATGACGTTGAGACACTCAACTTGTAACGCAACACAGCGCGGGAACGCGTCACGGTCTTCAAACGAGAAGTTTTACTCTTTCATTATTCATTTACTTATTCATTGTATAATCGAGACGCGCGCAACCAGGAGGAATGTGCGAACGGCGGCGCGGGATTCCGCGCGATAATTGCCGCTCGTCCGTCGGCGAAAGGAAAATCGCGCCCGTTCGTCGGCTTCTTTTCGAAAGCGGCGCCGACGGTTTTCGCGAGCGCGGCTCGCGAGGTGAGTTTCCTCGGAAGAGGGCAGAACAAAGGCAGGAGAAAGAGAGGACACGGTAGAGTCGTTCCTCAGTATGCGTTTCGCGGGCGTTTTTTTTCGGCCGGCCGGCCGGCCGTCCGTCCGAGCGAATTATTCGTACTAGCCGCGGCGAAGTTCCACGAGAGTATATAAAAGTAGGCGCACCGAGGTATGGCTCGCTGCACCTTGGCTATGCGGAAAGGAAAGGCTCTTCTCCGGCGAACCGAGCGGCAGCGCGAACGCTCACGCACACACACACACACACACACACACACACGTACACACGTACGTACATTCGCGCTTGTGTTCGAAGCAAACACCAAAGGACGCCTCTTTTGCTCGTCTCCCGTGCACGTAGACGCGTACGTATACACGCCACATACATACGTGCGCACGTACATGGTACGGAGTGCGTTGTAACAGGTTACGAAGGTGTGTACGCGCTGACGGCCACGGTAACACACCCCGCGATGGGGATAAAATGCCCGTAAAACACTCCGCTGCACGTACCAGGTGTCCAGAAATCAATCTCGCAGGCCGAGCTGGACCTCACGCTCTGATCATCGTGGGAACTCGACTCGGGAGAGTCGAGTCCGAGCGCCTCTCTTCGGGAGTGTTCCGCGTCGCGAGCGGTCGCGTTGTCGTCGAAAGCGCGCGATGCTGATTAAAACTCGAAGTCCGCCTTTCTCGTATCAGGGAGATTTTACCTCCCCTGTTGTGGATCGCGTGGATTCGAGGAACAAGTCGCTTGGCTCGCGATATCATTGTAATACACCGGCACCAACGTATGGTTTTAGAAAGGGATGAACTTTCAACCTAATAACCGCGAAAGAGCCGAGTGTCGCTGCGAAAGACGAAAGAAGTGCTCGCTACGAAGTTAGAAGGCGCGGCGCAGGATGGGGAAGTGGCCGCTAATACGAGGTGTCCACCTTTATTACACCTCGACAGCCCCGGGGAACTTCAATTATCGCTGGGTGGCGGTCGGTCGGGTACGACCATGTGGGAAAATACTAGGATAGACAGAGGAAGAAAGAAACACACTCGACACTGGGTCAGGCCTCTTTTTTCAACTGTCGTGAACGTGGTCGAGCGCGAAAGCCTTCGGTCGTGATCGAATTCTGGCGAATTCAAGCTCAAGGAGGCGGGACGCGTTTCTCACGTTTACGAATCGACGCAATCGGCTAGGAATTTGGCGAGTAGAAGAGAAAGAGCTTGAGGAGGACGGTGGGTGGGTGGAGAGGGACAGTGAGTTTTTCCGTTTTCAATATGCGTCTGGTGAAATTATTTAGAATTTATTCTAGTCTGGCGGCGGTTACTTGTATAAATTTGCAACTCGTTCGTGTATATTTTATTGAAAAAACAACGATAGCAGCAAACGACGCAGCTGTTACGCAGCAATCGTTGCGTAACGATACGTATGTTGTAAAGGATATTAACGTATCGTTCTACTTGCGCCAAGAAATGGCGCACCGAACGAAGTCGTTGGCGTGTTATCGAGCATATTTGCGTTATATCTTCTAACTGAGTGTCGAAATTTCATCGGATATTCATGTCGCGTTCGTGCGGGCGATTCCCTCGAAGGTATCTCCCGCCGGGAGAAGGAGAGAGAGAGAGAGAGAGAGAGAGAGAGAGAGAGAGAGAGAGAGAGAGAGAGAGAGAGAGAGGGAGCGAGAGAGAGAGAGAGAGGGAGAGCGAGAGAGAGAGAGAGGGAGAGAGAGAGAGAGAGAGAGAGAGAGAGAGAGAGGGAGAGAGAGAGAGAGAGAGAGAGAGAGAGAGAGAGAGCGCCTCGTGAGCGCCCATCGGCGGCTCCATCGCGGAGAGACTCTTCCGCGTCGGCTCGCTTAAAGTATCTCCGGCAATTTCTCGCCGGCACGTGAGCGGACTGTGCAAAGTTTGCGGAGTGCGCGCTGCTCTCTCGCGGCCCGGGGTCTTCCGCGGCTGGTCGGAGGACCCCGCACGGAGGCAGGAGGTTACCGGCGAAGCGAAAGAGCCTCCAGAATAAGTATGCTCGGCTAATAAAACTCGGTGTACGAGTCGTCGCCGGCGCGTTCGCTTTCCAAATAAACGCGCCTTTACGCGCGGAAACGCTCGTACCGCGGGATTTATCGTCGTCGTCGTCGTCGTCGTCGTCGTCGTCGTCGTCGTCGTCGTCACCATCGTAAACGAACGACGAGAAATGTGACGACGACGTCGACGTCGAAAATCAAGGGAGAAGGGGACTGGGAGGGGGGGAGGGAAGAAAAGCGAAAAGTAAGACTGGCTGCAGTCTGGTCAATCTTCAAACAAGTAGAAAGCGCAACAGTCTCTATTAATTAATGTACATTACGTTGTAGCGATAATTATTGTTGTTGGCGAACAGGGCATAACTCGGGCATAAATCGCGACTTTATTTTTGCGGTGCTAACGAGGCAAGCTCACAGATGGAGGTTGTATATATACGCGAGGCTGCTTCGGCGGCCACCGTTCGGCCACCACCATCGTGAAGCGCGCAAAGTGCTCGCTGAAATTCGCTGAAAGCACGAGTCGAGAGCGTATCGCAGGCGGGAACGGATTACTACGTGCTACGTAAAATCGCGGCGGTTTGCCCTCTTCGATCACTCTCCGGTTTATTCGACACATGATTCGAATCGTGGCGGATTACCTCGACCGCGCGATCCGCTAAAATGTCACTCGCGAGATCGGCGGCCTTATATAACATAGAAGGAAGCGCGTTATGGAAAGCAAAGGCCAGCAGACGATCCTTTGCGCTTTCTACCTTCGATCTTACTCTTACGGTAATTACGTGGGCTCGTGCATGCGCACGAACAGCGCACACGTGTGTGTGCGCACGCGCGTACAAGCATGCCTACCCCGCACACGCACCGGCGCGTGATCGTTGCGATCCCGCATTGCCACTCGCTCGTGTCCTCCTCGAAAACATGCGCTACTGTGACAAAACTCCATTTTTCGAGACAGCGATCTCTCTCTCTCTCTCTCTCTCTCGTACGGCTTCGTATCACTTTCTACGAATAACAAGGCGTATGAAATAATTCAAATTCTGTTGAATCTTACTCAAAATTCGTTAACGAGAAAACTCGCGATTTTCGAGATTTGTTTTCTATTTTGTTCCTTGAAAAATTAGAAAATTAACAATTAGAAATTGCTCTCATTGGCTAATTTTTTTCGCAAATTACGGACCCCTTCTGCTGGTGTTTTCGATCGAGACGGCGTGTCAGCTCGACTCGAATGGCCCGAAGGAGAAGCTGACGTTGCGAAATTGAAGAGTGTAGCAACTTGCTAATTTCGACTTACGCTCATTCGCTCTGCACTCGCGCACATTTATTATTCGGAGATCGCCTCTTATTAAAACCCCTCGAACGAATCGAACCGTCGCGTAAGGATTGCACGTGCATGTGCATGTGTGAGAAACGAAGTAAACCGTGTCTACGTAGAATGTGCGATGTGTATCGCGCGTAACGGCACGCAGTATTGGCGCGGCGAACTCGAAAATTGCCCGGCCGCGATCGTTTCGAAAGCCGCCCGATTTCTTTCCCGAGATTGGCCCGAAGCTACTGCTGCTGTTGCTGCCGCCGTTGCTGCCGTTGCTGCTGCTGCTGCTGCTGCGTTCGGTGCGTTCGCCCGAGGCCTCCGTCTCTCTTTCGAGATATTAACACGAGACTTCCGTTTCCACGATACGCAATAACGAACTGTAACCCGAGGCTCCTCGGGTCTCCGCGCTCGTCGGCACCGAAGTCGAGCCCGAATTTTACGAGAGGATCTTTCGCAACGCATATTTCCCCTCCCTCCGTTAATTACTTTCAGTTCGTTTTCTACGGTTTATGCAATAGCGCAACGCTCGACGAGTCGTCGCGCGGTCGAGCGCCTTCTAAAACTTTGTTTCTTCTTCTTCTTCTTCTTCTTCTTTTTCCTCTTCCTCTTCCTCTTCCTCTTCCTCTTCCCCCTCTTCTTCCCTCTCTTTTTTTCCTCTTCTTCTTCTTCTCCTTCTCTTTCTTTTCCCTCTTCTTTCTCTTTTCCCTCTCCTTCTTCTTCTTCTTCTTCTTCTTCTTCTTCTTCTTCTTCTTCTTCTTCTTCATTTCTTATCTTATGAAACGTTAATTCTACAAATGTTTATCGCATACTAGGATATCTTTTGTAGCCATAATGCAGCGTTCGTATCGATACTGATGAGTAATATGATTATTGCGATTGTTAAAGATATCTTTATTCACACTGTCGCAGGCGACAACCGCGAGCGGATACTTCGAGGTGCAGATCCTCTCGCTATCAAACAACAGGGGCACCCTGGTGGACGGTAGATGTTGCGGCGGAGGAGACGGGGGAGGAGGGTTCCCGCCGTGCACGAAGCCCTGCTCGACGGCTTTTTGGCTATGTCTCAAGGAGTACCAGTCGAATGTCACCGCCATCGGCACCTGCAGCTTCGGCAACGTATCTAGTCACGCCCTCGGCCCGAACACCTTCACCCTCGCCGAACCTGTCACCCTGCAGCTTCCCTTCACCTTCCGATGGACGGTAAGTCGTATCTCTTGACGATCGGTCACTTTATTAATATACTAATTAACTTTCGAAGCTGTGTCCTGAGCTTCTCTCGAATGCTTGTCCGCGCTTCAACTTGTATTTTCAACAAATGTTGATTGACGGACCAAACTCCAAACTTGTTCCCCCCTCCGTACCTGGTTCACACCAGCGCTCTATTCGCCCAAGTACGCGAAGGTCGCGTACAATATCACTGAGCGCGAGACGAGAATCAGACGCTCACATTTAACGCGTAAATGAACGTGGAAAGGATACGAGCCAAAGGCATTCCGAGAGTTGTCGAGTGCCAAAACGTCTCTCTCGTGCGCTCTCTCGCGGCCTGCACCTAATATCCGTGGGAACGCGCCGCGACCGACTCCGAAAATCCCGCCGCCAACCGCCGTTACACGAGAGCCGAGGGACGACGCGCGCTTAATTTGATGTCGCGCGATTAATAACGCGCCGCCGGTGGGACCCGTAATTTTGTTTGGTCACCGGCACAATGGCCGCGTTGCCGGGCGACGATGAAGACGTAACGAGGGAACGACACATTCGGACTCGAATCGGCCGCATGAATCATTTATCATCGACGCCGTGACACACGACGCCAAGAGAGCGTCTCATTAGCGACGCACCGCACCATCCTCTCCTCCTCCTCCTCCTCCTCCTCCTCCCCCCCGGGAGAGCGCCTGTGTTTGCGTGCGTGTACGTGCGTGCGTAGTCTATCGGCGCTCGCAGTTTTGTTCCGAGCTTCCCATTCTCGAAATCGCCGAAAGCCGGCCGAGTGAATCGCGAGCGCGCCGCTCTTCTTTCGCAACGACGATGCTAACGACCGCGAAGGTGGAGGTGGCGGCGGCGACGGCAGCGGCGGCGGCGGCGGCGACGGTAAAAGTCGCCGCTTATAACTTTTCACTTTGTATCCATCCCCGGACGAATCGCGAATTTCTCGTCCCGATTCCTTTGTCGGCGCGAGGCGTCGAGGAGGCTCTCGAATCGCGCGGGATTTCCGGTTCGCTGGTCTCTCCCATCCGCGGAATCGTTGCGTAGAATTCCAGTTCGGTTCCAGTCGCTTGGGGCGCGACTCCCTCTCGCTTCTCCTCTCTTCCCTCTCCCTTGTATTGTGTCCTCGTCTGCATCTTTGTTTCTTCTCTGTTTCTCTCCGCTCCTCGGTGCCCGGTGTGTTCGCGCGCGCGGCGAATTTTTACGGTCATTCGCCCATGTTGAAGTTACCCGCTGCTTCTTCTGTAGTTATGAATCAGCTTGCTCGGCCGTGAACGACCGGCGATTTTATACGCGAATTTTGTACACCCGGTATCTGGAGAAAATTGCCGCCGCTGAGAGAGCACTCGACCGCGCGCGGTTGTTAATCGCGATTCGTTTCCCACATTCTTCACCGACGAAATAACGACGCCCCACGTGTAAGTCTTGAGCGGGCAGGACGCGAAGACCGAAAGAGAAGAGAAAGAAGGAGCAAGAGGAGGAGGAGGAGGAGGAGAAGGAGAAGAAGAAGAAGAAGAAGAAGAAGAAGCAGAAGAAGAAGAAGAAGGAGCAACAGCAGTAACCTCTGCTTCGAGAGGCACCCCCATTTTGACCTCGAGTGTTTACCATTTATCGTTACAACATCGACATATTATAAACCTCGCGCGATGCTGCGGAATATTCAAACACGGTTCGCCGGAAAAGTCCTGTCCTTTTCGGGAGTCTCAAGTATGTCCGCACACTTGTGCCTCTCTCCGCCGAGGCAACGTCAGTACCTAATTAGTAGCGCGCCCACCGCCTACCGTTCGCCGTTCGTGGTCGTCCGACGTAATTACGGCATAATGTACGAGCGATTTCGAGGGGGTCCCAAACAATCCTCGAGAGACGCTGGAGTGCGCACGAGGCGTGCCCTCGCGAGAGAGCGCGCGTACACACAGGCACACCGTCGAGAGTGCCTCCTTCAGGCGACGGTTCGGTGGATGGCTGACGGGCCCCGAAGGGCACCGCGTTTGTTTGACACGCATTCTCGCGAGCCGAGTCCGAAAGCATGCCCGTGTGTTGTGCTCTCTCTCTCTCTCTCTCTCTCACCCACCTCTACCTACCTACCTACCTCTACCTCTACCTACCTACCTACCTACCTACCTACCTACCTACCTACCTACCTACCTACCTACCTACCTACCTACCTACCTACCTACACACGCATATTGTAGGTTGTTTGAAGAGCGCCATGTACAGCTAGCATTTTATGTTTGTATATTTCATAACTCGCTCGCGAGTATCCTCCAACAGAAGAGGAGGCGGAGGACTACCATCGCGACAAAGGACTACGGGTTCTGCCTTCCTTCCCGCCCCTGTTTTCTCTCTTTCTCCCTCACGCGCGCGTTTCTCCAGAAGGATCCACCGCGAGAGACACATAAACAGAAACCTTTAAATTGCTTCCTTTCCGCGAAGGGTTCCTGCGCGTCTTTCGGCCCGCCCGCGCGAGAGCCATCTTCGATCGTTTAGCGCTTCGCCGGTCTAATTCAATTATGCCGCCGCGGGTGCGTAATAAAAAGGAGCGTGTGATATGTGGGAAGCGTACACGTGGGTGCGAGAGTGTGTGGGCTCATTCGTTGTGCGCGACGATGAATAAGGCGACGAAGAGGAGGGCGCGGGGCGTAGATAAAAGCCCGGATGAGCCTCGCTATCTGGCCGCCACGTTCGCCACGTGTAATAACTATATAGAGCCGTTTTCGCGCGGCGCCTGCCATCCTCGAAAAACGGTAAACGCGCCTGACTTTCAACGCTCTTTCGCGGATAATGCCGTCATTATCGTCTCTGCTGATTGAATACGGTATGTATAATCTCGCCGTCGCCGGCGTGCGCGCTCGTCCGCGAGTGAGCGGCGAGCGGCGCACTCTTGCGCGCTCCCTCGCGCTACCGAATGCCACCTGTGTTTAGCGGCTGGCTCGAGAACACTCGAGGAGAGAGTCGAGAGAGAGAGAGAGAGAGAGAGTCACCTTTTCGACGATAGAAATCACCGGCTGATCCTCGGCGAAGAGACTCGGTGAACAGCGAGTCACCGCTGCCTCGATCGCGCTGCGCCAGCCAAGACGTCGCTCAAGACGTTAACACATACGGTATTATATCGTATATTACATGCGTATCCCTCGTCGAGATCGCGAATCAGTATCCGATAAAGTGATTCGCGCGCGCGCGCATTACCGTGAGCATGAAATGCGCAGCGCAACTTGAAATTGCACCCGAAACTCATCTCGTCCCGCTGATTGAATCGTCGAGTTTCATCAGACGCACGGAAAAGCGTGCAATATATCTTTGACATCTCTTGTTACGCCGTTGAAAGAAAGAGAGAGAGAGAGAGAGAGAGAGAGAGAGAGAGAGAGAGACTGTGAGAGAGTCCCCCCCTCCCCCCTTCTCCCTTCGCTCCCGTTGCACGTGTGTAACTTTCGATAAGTCAAACACGCGGATATCGTTCTCGCGCGCGCGCGCGGGGTTTTCTAACAGCGACCTAGTTTACGCGAACGTGATGCGGCGGCGAGAGCCCCGGCCGCGTCAAACGTTGTAATCGTCGTCGACTTTCCCCGCTTCTAATTTCAATACCGATGTAAGGAGGAATACGGCAAGGGATAAGCGCCTCTCTGCCTTTCTCTTCCTCTGTGTCTCTTTCCCTTCGGTAGTGGTATAATAGCACGGGAAGCGATCGGCGAGATGAGAGTACGGCGGAGCTTTTGCACAACCTTCTCTCGATGCTATATGCATCTTCGAACGGCACGTTTCGCGTCTCCTTTCTCTCCAAGTCGGCGTCCTTCCCTCGCGCCCCTCTCGCTCGTTACTGTCCCTCCTTCCCTCTCTCTCTCTCTCTCTCTCTCTCTCTCTGATCCTCTCGCCGCGGCCGGTCGTCTTCGATAATTTCTCTCCCGGCGTTCGACTAATGCCAATGTGTGCTCGCGCGAACCCGAGCGTCATCCGACTCATGCAACGGCGGCAGTCGGGTCGCAGTCGCAGTCGCAGCGCTCATATACGCGCGACTTGTTCGCCGCGCTTTGTATGCACCGGCACGCACGAGCGGCCACTATGTTGACGCGTCGGAACACATATAGACCCGCGCGCGCATAATGTCTCCAATCTGGGCGCCACTATGAATGGCGGGAGACGTCACGAGACTCCGCCGCCGGAATCCACGTGGACGCTGCCGGGAATTGTCATTCGAGGACAGTGTGCGTGCATCCGCGCTTGGTCGGCCGAGCGAGATTCGCGCGCTCTCTCGAGGCTACTGACGACGATTCTGTCGCGCGTTCAGTTTCGCCGGCGGATTCAGTATTCGATCTCGAGTATTCCCCTCGTTATTGCACGTTGCGATGCGCATTCGTTCATCACAAGAGCGCGCGCGCGCGCGCGCCTGTGATCGACGACGGTGCATTTCCACGTTCTCGCTCGCGATCTCACTCTTGGACTTTTGGAGTTCGCTTCTGGAGATTGCTTCTGGCGAACGAACGGCTGCGCCGCGCGCGATACTCGGACGGGGAACAAAAAGGAGAAAAGCCTGCCTGCGGATCGAGTCGGAAACCGTGTCCGTGGCGCGTTTAATCTCCTTTCCCTGGGCACGTGATTAATTCCGACAATCGTACTTTCGATAATAGACGTATAATGATAAACGATGCTCGAGCGAGCGGCATTCATCACGGCAGGCGGTGGCTACGGCGGCAACACGAGAACGAGAGAGGGGAACGGAGAACGAAAATGAAGGAGCCCGTTCGAGAAGACGCGTCGCGCGTAGAACGCCGCGGGGATCGACGTGAGTCAGGGCCGAACAGGTGTACGTCCGCGTCTCTCTCTCTCTCTCTCTCTCTCTCTCTCTCTCTCTCTCTCTCTCTATATATATCTATCTATCTATCTATCTGAAAGGAAACGGGCCCAGCGCGCATAGCCTCGTAAACGTTTTCCATTCCCATCGATATCCACGTTGTGCCTTGTGCCACCGGCGCGTCACGAAACTACCGTTTGCCCTCGCAGCT